ATTCATAATAGTTTTTATGTCTTCGTATGATTTTTGTATTACTGTGAGTATATGTGTTTCGTTGTTATTGGTTTGGTGATCAGATCTCGTTACGTTCGCGTAGGTTCTGTTTGGAGTATTAGCTGTAGAGAGGTGAGGAGGGGTCAAATTTTCTCTAGCTTGTGATTGTAGATATAGATTACTGTTGTTTTGATTCTGATTGCGGTGGTTCTCATTTTCGTTTGTATGACTTATCCATCTTGGTCTATTTAAATTGCTGGTTCTCTTTTCCATGATGTTTTAGTAGATTGCGCATTCTTTTTAATCAGCAGGGTAGGGTCCATTGCAGTACAATATTTCTTTGTATGTCCATATAATTGACATCGAGTGCATTCGACGATTTCTTTCCTTTTTCTAGGTGGTTCGACTTGTATTTTCGCGTGTAGTAAATATTGCAGTTGATATATCTCTTTTTTGTTATAGTTAGGTTCTAGGTCTACGAAAAATAATGGGAGAGGATCGTGTGTGCCTCGCTTGTAAATATTTGAGACTTTTCTCATCTTATGACCTGCCTCTTCGATTACTGTTTTGATGTCCTCGAGAGGGAATGATTGATGTAGTGATCTAATAACGATACGGTACGCTCGGTCTTGCTTCAGCTGATACGTGTGATAGTCTGCTTTTTCTTGTTTAAGTATTTTAATTATTTTTCTATACGCGTCAACAGTTTTTGCCATAATTTTTATTTGTTCGTCTTTATCAACTGTTTTGTATGTAAAACAGTCATCTTCAAAAGTTTCTTTAATTTTGTTGGTGAGCGTGTGAATTATTTGTACCCCTGGGATAAATATTGGTGGGGGATGAGGTGATTTTCTGTTTTGATTAGTTGAACCTTGAGTGTTGTTATTTTCTTGATTATTTGTCTGTGATGTCTGATCTTCTTGTGTGATGCTTGTTAATTTGTAGAAACGGTTATTGTCAAATGGTGGTTGTGGTTAATCTGTCGGTATGCAGGTTGCTTTCCGTTTTTTATTTTTTTCGTTACCTGGTATTATTTACCAAGAGTTTGGTGATTAGGAGTTTAGATTTTTTTGCAGAGTAACATGAAGGTCAGGTCTACTACTTCTGGTGTGTATAGTTGTTCTTGACGTGTGTTCGTCGCCAAGGTTTTCCAAGTCCATGTCTACTGATTGGTGATCACTTGTGTCTAACGTTGCACTGTGAATTAGAGGAACGTAACCAGTGCAGTACACTGATTTTTTTGTCTGGCTGATTGCCTGATGAGATTGGTCGTTCGTACTTATTTTCACTATAGTAACTAATTGCACTGTTTAGTAAATACGTCCGAACTCGACGAGCGTCTCGAAAAACATCCATATAAGTGAAAGAGTTTCTAGTAAACTTTTCTAGAATTCTAGAAATATGGTATGACTATTTTCTCCGTGTCAGAATCAGCAATACTTAAAATAAATTTTTTACTTCATTTTTTTTTTTTTTTTCGAAGAAAATTTACTATGTTCAATGACACAATAAACATAGCAACTGAAAACTTGGAGTGGCAGTTATTCATTAATTGGCTATAAACCAAACTTTGAATACATTAAAAAGAATTTCCATCATTAAACATCCTGGAATTTTTTTTGAAAAATTCAAATTATTATTATTATTAATTTAGAAGTTTTATTTTATTATTTCTTAACTTATTCTTATGATAAATCTAATTATTGAATTTTTTATAAAAATTTTAATTTTTATTACCTTCATGATCATCAGTTTTTATCAATATGATTATTCTGATCTTTTTCTTCAGTTCCGAAATATAATTTATTAATCGGTTCCAATTTAACTGCCCGTAGAGACGTTCATTGAAGAAATTCTAATTTTTCTGACCGTAAAGAGTATTGCAATTTTGAAATATTGAATTTTGCTACTAATTCTAAACCTGCCATTTATTTTGTTCGAACACCTAAAATTACCAGATATGCGTGTTTAACTAATTTATCCGTTTCTTCGTTCGAATAGTTAGTCACAAATGTTCATTTCCATTTTGTTTCCGAGCTTGAAAACGATTCAGTAAGCTTCGAAAAATTGAGCTTCCTCAAAACAATCTTTTAAATTTTTAGATAAAACATCAGAATTCTTTAAATCCTCTACACTTCAATTCTCTAAAATTTTCTGAGTTTTGTTCTTTTAACAGGACAATAAAATTGTCTTGCAGCTTCAGCTTTAGCTTCTTCCGACCAATTATGTAATCGACAAATGGTCTAAATTGACGTGAGTGACTTTCCCACGTCTGAGAACCATTGGATTTTGCTGGTTTCGTGGAAGCTAACGAATTCCCTGACGGAAAAAGTCAAGACAGATTCGATTATATTTGAATTTGAAAAAATATTGAGAGATGAATCACTTCTTACATCAAGTGTAAATTATAGGATGAGGACAACAGATATTAAGAGGCAAGTTTATTGAAATGATAAATTCAAATATAGAAACTAAATTTACAGATTCTACAGATGGAAACATACGTATTTTTTACAATACTTGATTGTTTATATGAAAAGTACTACAATTTTTTAATCAATCGATTGTAGTTCATTTACAAACAACCTTTACGAAGATTTTATTCTTCTCCTTCGAAGCTATCGCTTCAATCATCAATATATTCATGTTTAATGTATGAAACGACTTAGAATTAATTAAGTGTAATAACATCTTAAGATAAACAATAGAAAGTAAGAATTAATTCATTACAATGAAGACTTTTTTTGTTTATTTCTTTTAAAATAAAGCATTTTGGAAAACTGGGATTTACAGTGTAGAATGTTGAGGCATGAACGTATAAATCGGAGAAAAATCGTTTTATGTCTTTAAAGACATAAGTAGAGCTTCGTAACTTATTTATGTTCTTAAATTAATAATTATTCATATCTCGAGAACAATACGCGTGAACGATTTTTTTCTTTTCTAACAAGTTAATAATTAAATACTATCAAACTAAATGCTGTAACACTATCTATATATAGATAGTGATATCTGTTCGAAAAATCATGCCGAAAACAGTCAGGACGGCTTTCAAAAAAATGCGCGCCAAGTATGAATGACGAAGACGATAATCATTTTTCATAAAGTGCGATCTTCATAAAGCTTGTTTATGTGAAAAACTACAAAAATACGAGAAATCATTAAAGCCACGTATTTAAATGATTGACGGCTTATGCTCATAAGAGAAGACATTGACGAAGTCTTCATATGGTATTGTTCTATCTGTGGCCTTAGTCTGACTTTGCTGTTGAGTCTATGTAAATGTTGAAATAAATGGATAATTATGAAGCAGCACTTTTTTCGTATCAATAGAAATGAAATAAGAGTTTTTTTTCTTCTCATTAATATCGCTGTAGTATATTTTTCAAAAATTGTACATTCTCAAGTTACAATGATTAAATGTTATTTCTGGCTATCGAACTTGCCATATGAAAATGATTAATAGCTTTCACCGAGAATATTTAAGAAATTATTAATTTCGATTAAGTTCTATTTTCTGTCTGTAATATAAAGAATACTGCGTTTCACCAAACGTTAACAGTACTCGAAGGATAGATGGATGGTGTACTTAATATGTATGTTTACAACGTGATTCTTTTTTACACAAAACAGTACAATTGAAGATGTCTTATTGAAAAATTAAAGCGAGAAAAATGGAAGTAGACTCGTTTGAAATGCATTGCACGATATTCAATCGTATATTTAGTTTGAAAAATACACATTACAATCAATGCTTCCATTTCAATAGCAATGAATAAGTCGTTTAAATATTCTACAGGCGATGTAAAAACTTTAAGATTGAAAAAGTTTTATTTTTATACAACAGTATGTTTAATATTTTTCTATTATCATTTTTTAATTGAATGAAATATTGACTATGTTACAACAACCTAATGAATTAAATGCATTATTTAAAAAAAGTGTGATCTATTTACATTGTTAAAGTTTAATGCGGAAGACAGATTAGTTTTATACCTTAATCGAAGAGAGAAATTTGACAATTGTCATGTAGTCATGAATAAGATTGGCTTGGAAACTGTTACATCAATATAATATTTAATTGAAAATACGTATGTTTATGACTGAATAAGAATATTCATTTTTATTTAAATATAATCGCTGATGGATCAATTTTTTAACGAAGGATGTCAAAATGACAATTTTCTAAAATATCGTGTAATAGTTTTTTTGGTGGTTCCAGTTTTGTTTCAACTTATTTGGAGAATAGATCACTTTCAGAAATTCGTTAAAACTATTTTTCCTATGGAGAGGAAGCATTAATTAGCCAAAATGTAAGTATTCTAGTGTAAAATAAATGACTTTTTTTATCGAAAGTAAGTTTTATTTTTAACAAAGTTTAAAAGTTCATAAAATTGTAAAATTAGATTAAAAAGATAAATAAAAATGAACTTAACGAGAAATTCGAGTTGAAGTTCATGTGTAAAAGACAAATTTAGTTGATAAAATTCTCAATATTGCGGAGGGAAAAAAAATTTAAACGACTTTAAAAAAAAGAGCTGCATAGAAACAAGAAAATAAACATAATGAAATAAATTTCATCTATCATATAAACACTACTTTCAACAAAGTCCAACATGATGCTAAATTTAGTTACTAGACAAAATTCAAGTGTCTGGTGATGTTCTTACGGTCATTTTCCTTTCATGACTTATTATTTTCTTAATTGAGATTCGTATTCAATTACATATATGTTTAATAATATAAGATGAAAACAAATAATGAAATTCTTATGTATCTTTATCAAGGATTATATTAAACCACATATGTCAACTTAATGCATTATTGGCTGCTTGATATATTTATTGTTTTTTTTGAAAATTCAATATTTTACAAGAAGATGAAAAAATAAATAATGAATTATCTGAAAATAGCTTATGAATGTATCAGACTTTTAAATAAAACAACACAGAAATTTATTATGGAACGTTCGTTTGTAGCAAGTAGACATAATAACTTACAGTTGATTCTTGGAGTATATGTTGTTAGAATAAAAAAAGCAAAAACGAATGACGTTTTCATTTTTTTATAGACCAATATTCTGTTAGTTTACAAAATTTCAATGGATATTTATCAAAAATGTTCCTATTTTGAGAATCGATTATCGAGTATTATCCACTGTATACAAAATAACTTATTATATCAGCGATAATAGTGATACTAACAGCAAACTAATCTTTGCTGGTAGTTTTTATACTCGTCGAGGATGACTGGTGATTGCGCATATTCTACCATCCATTCCCTCATCCCTTTTTACTTTCCCCTCTTGTTTTCTTTATTTATGCAATGAAAATTTGTAATTCATAGCTAAAGACATTTCTTTAATGATAACACAATGATTACCGATCTATTGTGTAAATGTTATTATTTATTCATTTTTAATTAACAAAGGATAAGAAATCATCCTATGCGTAAAAGAAATTAGAGATAAATCATCATGGAATAAAATGAAGTATTCAACAAGTAGCATAAAATAATAAAATTTTTTCTCTCCCTGATCGATAAAACTTTGATAGTAATCGGTTAAAACTTTGTAAAGCAAAACATAATTATACATGAAGTCACAGTTGATTCACATTGTTCTCATTAAGATGTAGACATTTTGTTTTTATATTATTGGAGAGTTTTCGAAATTTTCAATGAATTTCAACAGTACTAATTTGAATAAATTTATACATTTTACCTAAAATTGTTAAATTATCACTTTTTTTTAAAATACTAAAAATGATAAGTTTAATTAATTGTACCTATTTATAGGCTGATCGATTAATCATTAGAGAACTAATACGCTAGGATTTAATTTTAACATTATCATAGATTTTATTTGAAATTCAATACGTCTTAAAATTGAAAGATTTTCTTGTAAAAGGTATCATAAATTCTGTACAGACCGTTCTAACCCAAAAACAGAGATAAAAATAGTTCAATTTCTGTGATGTTCCAATTGCCGCTTATAATTTAATTTCATTTTGGAAAATCATCAACCTTATTGAAGTTTTTAATAACTTAAATTAATCTCACAATATTATTTCGGTCATTAACGTCATCATAAACTTTAATAACATTGTTTATATGGCATAAAAACATTTTTGAGGTTCACAATAAATTTTAAAAGGCACATTTTTAACCTCAACTTTGTTAAAGTAAACGAAACAACAAAATTGAATGAGTGATGTATTCATGAAATGGAATACATCACAGCAATATCTTTTGAAAGAAAGATGATATTTTTCTAATCTTTGATCACAGAATAACGAGATTATGTGGTATTTATGAAGATTAAGCTACACATCTCTAATCATCCGGGATATTAAGTATGTTGTAGAAAAAATTGTGCTGAAAAATTTGAAATGCATGGATTAGGTGCGAAAAATAATACCTCACATAGTTTTTCAACTTTGAAGTTCCAGAAAAAGGAAAATAATCCATTTATCACACTCCTTTTTCACATCTTTTTATTATCTGACGATGACATCGTAAATCATAAAATTGCGGAGAATTAAGTCGAGGTTCTTGACCTACGACTATCTATTAAGTGTATTGTAAATGTACTGTAAAATAAGACCAAATAACAGCTTTGGGAAATTAATAAATAGAGGAAAAAGTTTATTAAAGATTGACAGCAATTAATTAGAACGAAAGAATCCGTGCGGTTTACTCAAGTCTCAGTCGAAAACTGGAGATAAACAAACTCTCCTCTCGTTGCTATAAACAATCTAATCGTCAAGCAATCGTCGTTAACTAACAAACTGTCGTTAGTCTAATAGTAAACAGGAGTTTTCAGAAATAAAATTAAATTAATACATAAATTTGTATAAGATATATAAAATGGTTTCGCCGAAGGTGGCCCGGCTCCTCGGATAGCCCCCTTTAAAAAAAACACAGTTATGATTATTCGAAACATTTGATGTTTTGCGGGTTTATGCTACTAGTACCATAGACAGGGATATATCAATACAATTTAATTTGGAATGTTGTTTGGAATTTTTTTAAACTATGTACAGAAGGCCATGGAAAAATAATTTGCAAAATGTGTCATGTCAAATTAAAAATACCCACACGTAATATTAACTAACTAACTAACTTTACTTAAAAAATTTTTTTTTGTATCTCTCTTAGTTACGGAAAAAATAATAAAAATAATACGTCTTGAGGTATTTTGTTTTATTTCTTACCCCTTGCATATATGACAAATCTTGTGTGACATCCGTCTGTTGTTATTAACTTTGAGAAGTAATTAACAATTATTTCTTCACATTAGATGGTTTTAGTAATTATTCTCTCATTATCGAAATATTTGTTGTGTTCGATTATTTTGTTATATTCTTTAAATTGAAGAAAAAAATTTCTCTCAACCTACTAATTATTGACTTAGCGTTAAATTCGTAATATTATCAATAATTTATGATGATGTCAATTTTAATTTAATGAAGTAATCTATAAGAATTTATGAAAGAAGCAATAAAACAATTAATGTTACTTTGAAAAATTTTACCAATAAGTAATAAATTATCTGTATCTTATATACATGCAATAGAACTTAAAATTTTGTAGCAATAAAAATAAATTGATTATCAATGCCTATTGTAACACCTTTTAAATCACTCCAAGGAAATTGTACCATTTCAATACATATTAGTAGAAACAATTAGGAAAGTAATTACGCCCGGTGACGTCGGTGCGTAGCGAGTAAGATACCTTCAGGCTAAGGTGTCATCAATATGGAAGGGATAGTGTGCTCCCTGAAGTATTAGTTCTCACCAATAAAATTTAATAAGTTAAAAATTACAAAGCTAATTGGTTTTGACTTTTCCTACTCCCGGAAAAATCAACGCCTTCTTCAAATGATATTTATACCATTGTAAAAACTCAATAGTCAGTTGCGAAGACGTGTTTAAACGAAACGAATATGAATCAGTGTTTAAATTGCAGTTCCTGTCTTAAATCAATTGACTATTGGATTCCTCATCTCAAATTGTACATTCTGTGGATTTACTTACTGTTAATTCAAGGTATTATAATTTTATTCAAAAATGTTTACTTGGTTTTATTGAAACTGCTTTCTAATATACGACTTTAAAAAGTCACTTCAAAATTAAATTACTGGTTTAATCAATTTTTACAATCAAAGATCCCTGTACTCCTTCCCTGTCTATTGGCTGCAGAATTAGAGGAAAAACGGAAAATTCTATGTTTGTGTCTTTTATTACAATTAATTCAATAAATTAATTGTACGTCAAAACATAACACTTGCAAACGTTTCTTTACCACATACACGCCGTCTTGAAATATAATATTGCAATCAATACTTTTTTAATTCGTTTCAGAAATTCAGTTAGTTAATACATTGTATTGGATTTAATAAAAAAAAAAACCACCTCCAAAGGAAAGACTATGATAACTTGTCAATTTAAATTTATCTTCAGTCGAAATTCTATCCAGTCTAAGACACTCTGAATCACCCCATAAATCTAGATCATTATGCATCCTCGTAAAATGGATAATTATTATAGTATTTACTGAAACTATGTAATCCCGAGTCGAAATAATGGGCCTGGTTTGAATCTTCAAAGCCTCAATTCCTTTGATAATGAATATGCCGCCCAACATTATGTTATTTGTTAAAACCTCCAAAGTCTACTTTTACACTTAGAAGACTTAAATCAGTACTTTATATATTTTGGAATGCTGATTAAGGTCTCTAAGTTCTATATTTTTTCATCTAAATATAAAAATATTAATTCAATCCTGCAAAATCGAGTAGATGTTCCAATTATAATCATAAAATAGTGGAATTCTTATGAAACATATGTTTCACCAAGTTTAATTATTCAATAATTTATTTTTACTTCATGTTAGTTAGTTGCCTAGAGAATTTCCTGTTGCAAATTTGCGAACTTATACAAAAATTAGTGCCAACCACGAAATATATCTATCATCTGATACAGCAGCGTACATAATTAAGAAAAGTAAGACTTAGTCATCACTAGATTAGAAATATGCAGTCAAACTTACTCTAATGGAAATATATGGTACAAAACTTAAAAATTATTGTGTACTCGGAAAAGTTGGTGATCGACCCAGAATTGACCCTGAATTATTCGAAGCTCTCTATGGTGAGTGACGTTTTCAATATAATATTGGTCGTAAATTTCTCCTTAGCATTAATAATATTCTGAATTATAATTTGTTTATGTTAAAGAAAAAATCAGATTATATTAAAGATATAAATAAATTATTCAGGGAATCTAAGGAAAAAGAAGAAAGATAATGCTAAAAAAGTAAAAAGTACCACAAATAAAGAATAAAATAATTTATTTCCAACATAATTAACAATTCTCTTCATATTTAAATTTATTAAAAAATAAATGGAAAAAACCACTATAAGAGGTATTTTTGAATGTTTACAAACAAAATGACTATTATAGTGATTGTTGATTAATATTCATAAATTATATTTCAGTTTTTGTATCTAACGTTGTGATGTTACAACTTTATATACAAAAATTTTTAAGTAATTTTTAAATATTAATTAATAACTATAATGATAGTCAATTTGTGAATTCCAAATTTTTTTAAACATCAGACCTATCAGGCTTGAACCAGAATTTCAGTTTCCCATGCACTAAACTTGTAGATGTTTAACAGTGTTTCAAAAACCTAGTTTAAATCATTGCAAGGAAAAAGGGAGATTCGTGACGGATTGAGGATTCAACCAGGCTTTTAATTGAAAGATATAGAATCTTTGAAGTAACTCAATGTCATTATTTTTTTCTGTACGCGTTTCATTAGTTCCGTCAATGAGTCTCTAATCATTTTTTAGTAATTTAATGAATACAGAAAATTTCACGTTTTGAAGAACAGGTTAGAAATATCAACCTTTGCAAAATTAATTATTCCTTGATTCTCTTTACTAAAATCGTGGAATCTAAACATATTTCCAAATAACTTCGTCTAGCCTGACATACTAATAGTTTTACTAGAAGTGTCACTACCTCTTTGAAAAGGAGTAGCACATGGCTAGAGTTGACGTAATTCTTAATAT